CTACTACCTCCTGCATCTCCTCACTCCTATCTCCTGCTCCTCCTCCCTCCTCCTCCTGCATCTCCTCCATCCTCCTCCTCCCTTCCTCCCGCAACCTCCTCATCCCAATCCTCCTCCTGCTGCTCCTCCTGATCTCCTCCTCGCGATGTCGCTCCTGGGAGGGGGGTCCTGGGATGCCGGCTGCGCCACGTGCGGCGCACCAGGCGCGGAGGGAAGCCCGGATAAAACGGGGAAGAAGAAAAGAAGCCCGCCGGCAAGGGAGGGGGGCGGGCAGGTGGCGACGCGCTTTTTTTTTTTCCTGTTTTTTTTTTTTTGTTCCGTCACTTTTTGATGTTATTATGGTGTTTTTTTTTTTCTGTTTGTTTTTTTCTCTATTTTTCATATTTTTTTCTTTTTTTAGTATTTTATTTTCTTTTTTTTTTTTTTTTCTTTTTTGTTCTTTTTTTGGTTTCTGCCCGGGACAAGCGCCCAGGCGGACGACGGTCTACAGAACGCTCAGGCGATCGCAAGCATGGACTGAGGGCGCGTGGATCAGCGGCGGGTCCCGTTTCCACGGCAAGTCGCGGATTTCCGCCGCCGCACGAGGCGGCACCGGCCGCACTTTGGGGAGGGCCCCTCCCCCGATCCATGTTTGCGCGCCCCTGATCTACAGGAGAAAAATTCAGAAATAGTCAAAAACTCGTTTGGGGACGATCTTATGACGTGTTGTTTGACCATTGTTGAGTATTGTTTGCGTGTCTGTTGTACTTTTCTTCTTCCAAAGCCCGCCTGTAGGAGGACATGCCCGACCTCAGTCTACAGTCGGGCCGCTGAAGAAGGAACCCTTTTCGCTGGGGAGGGGCTCAGTGCTCCCGAATTGTTTCGCAGTTTGTCTTGGGTTATCCCCAGGTTTTCGAGGGGAGATCGAAGTTTCACTTCTAGAAAAAGGGGGCCTCGTTCCTTCTGTCGGGCTCCTCAGGGCAGCGTTTCGGCCAGAGGATCGAAGCTCGAGCAGGTATTCGCTTGTCTTGGCATCGCCCAGGCGTGTGCACTTTTTTGGGGGGGGCGAGGACCATCGAAGAGCATCCTGGAGCATCCAGCAGAGAAGCCACGCGCGAAACCGACACACAAAACGTGCACGGGAGAGGGCGCGCCCGCGCGGTGGCGAGCATATGCGAGGTCTGGGGCCGTTCCGGGCGGGGGGGGCGGGGGGGGGTTCAGGAGCGTTCTCGGGGGCCCACTTCCGAGGAGGAAGGGGCGCAGCTTTTCGAGGACGTGGCGCACGCCGCCCCCCCCTCCTCCTCCTCCTCCTCCTCCTCCTCCTCCTCCTC